GAACAAAAAAACATCATATAATCATCTATGAATAAAAAACAACATATGATGATAATCTATGAACAAAAAAATATCATATATGATTATCTATATGAACAAAAAAGCATTAAAAGGGAGGAGACAGGGAGGAGGGGGCGCCGGCCGGACCGAACAGGGACGAGGGGCGGCGTCGTCGAGGCAGTGGCGCAGGGTCGGCGGCGAGAATGGCGACGGCGACGACGGAGCAGGGGCGCGGCCGCGGGCTCGGGGGGCAGGGCGACGGCGACGACGCCTATGGGGATGGGGCAGGGGCGACTACGACGACAACGGCGACGACGGGGGCGGGCCTGGGCAGGGGCGCAGGTGACGGCGACGGTGACGACAGCGGGGGTGGCGAACGCCGTCGGGGCAGGGGCGCGAGCTCGTGGCAGGAGCGACGGTGACGGCGACGACGGGGGCAGGCCCGGGCAGGGGCGCAGGCGACTGCGACGCCGACGGCGGGGGCGGCGGACGGGGTCGGGGCAGCCCGGTGGCGTCGGGGCAACTGCAAAGATGAACTGCAAAATTCCTAAGTGTTTGCTTATATAGCAAAGCCATTGGTCCCGGTTCGTGGCACCAACCGGGACCAATGCCACCCTTTAGTCCCGGTTGGTGCCACCGACCGGGACCAAAGGTCGTTTTTCAGCAGCCCAAAAAAGCGGGAAACCGAGGCCTTTGCCACCAACCGGGACTAAAAGGGGGCATTGGTACCGGTTGGTACCACGAACCGGGACCAATGCACCCCTTTAGTCCCGGTTGGTGCAACCAACCGGGACCAAAGGCCTTGTGCTGGCCCGCGGCCAAATGTTTAGTCCCACCTCGCTAGTTGAGAGGAGCTCGGAGTGGTTTATAACCCCCACTGCGGCTGCCCTCTCGAGCTCCTCTCAAATGCAGGCTTACTGGGCCTAATTGTACACTATGCTGCATGTGGGCCTACTGGGCCTTCTGCGGGCCTGAATCCTGGCCCATGGTTGGGTTTCTAGTCGTATTCAGGCCGTGGTGGCCAGTAGGTGGCATTTTTTTGCTTTATTTATTTTATTTTGTTTCTACTTACTGTTGCTATTTTTATTTATTTTATTAAAGTTTATTTATTTTATTTATTAAAGTTTATTTTGTTTCTACTTATTTATTTTATTTTGTTTCTACTTATTTATTTTATTTTCTTTTTTGCTTTTTTATTTCTTTTGTTTTATTCATTTTATTTTGTTTCTACTTACTTTTGCTATTTTTATTTATTTTATTAAAGTTTATTTATTTTATTTTATTAAAGTTTATTTATTTTATTTTATTAAAGTTTATTTTGTTTCTACTTATTTATTAAAGTTTATTTATTTTATTTATTAAAGTTTATTTTGTTTCTTTCTTGTGGACCATTTATAATTGTGTCTTAATAATGTTTAGTCGTATTTTCCTTTTCCAAACAACCAGATTTTGGACTAATAGGACACTCAAAATAATGATTTTGTGATTTTCCCTACTCTTTCAGTATGCTCACTTGTGCTCCTCATTGCCATTGTTTCTGTTCAAAGCACCTAGCAAAAGCATACTTAGTTGTTAAGATGAAAAATAAAAGAGGCACAAAGTGTTAACGAAAACAGAAGACGAATACAATTCGACCAGTACATTCTTGCTCACTGAACATAAAATATTGTCCGGGGTACTCAAACTAACCTGGAAACTATACAAC